GGGTCTGAATACTTAGGACCATGTGATATTTCAGTTTTTCTTTTTTAATAAATCTGCAAAAATGTCAACGATTCTGTGTTTTTCTGTCAATATGGGGTGCTGTGTGTACATTAATGAGGAAAAAAAATTAACTTAAATGATTTTAGCAAATGGCTGCAATATAACAAAGAGTTAAAAATTGAAGGGGGTCTGAATACTTTCCGTACCCACTGTATACACTATATACAGTATATATATATATATATATATATGTTGTAACATCACAATTTGTCAAAAACAACCTGCTTTGAAACAATGCATTTTGAAAAAAAAAGTGCTATACAAATAAAATTAACTTGACATGTAAAACATAAATAATGATAACCTTAAATTTTCTGCCGAATTTAATCTGCTGAAGGACTGGAATTTTTTTTTTTTTTAGTATTGAAGAACCTGTACTTTTGAAAGCTCTACTTTCCAATAAAACTCAGTGTTTTGTCTTCTGAAGAAATTGCTTTGTCTCCATGTCACCTGTACTTCACTCTACAACTGTACAGGTTTAGATGTTTGTACATATTTTATTTTCATTAGTGCCAAGACGCCTCCTTTGACTTCTGCTTGATCTGGATCTCCGGTTAACCTCTTTGTCTTTGTTATTAGGGTTCCTTTCATCTCTTTGTTTTCATTTTAATGTTTGAATCTACCTCAACGACATCTACCTCGTTCATTTACCTAATATAGTTCTAGAAGTTGCATGTTATCTGTGCTATGCAGGAATGTTTGGATCCTAGTTCTGATTGAGGTTTACATACTTCTTATATCCAGTTATTTTATGGTTTGTTTGTCTTTTCATCCACAGAATTACAAGACCAGGTGCTGCGTGTTTTCAAGGCAGACCAACAAAGTCGTTACTTCCTGATCAATAGGGACACCACAGCAAGAGAGGCAGCCAATCAGGCGATGCGAGAGTTTGGCTTGACCGCAAATCCTGAAGCCTATTCGCTCTGTGAGGTGTCAGTCACACAGGAGGGAGTTATCAAACAGAGACGGCTACCTGATCAGCTCTCTAAACTGGCCGACAGGATACAGCTGAGTGCCAGGTTTGGTCTTGAGCTGAATTTAAGAAGTTAAATTGGCAATTTTGTGACTTAATTTGATATGTGATGGCTGTTTTTCTGCTTCTTTGTCAGGTACTATCTGAAGAGCAACATGGAGACCGAGGCGCTGTGTTCAGATGTGGAGGCCCTGGAGATGCAGCGGGAGTCTGTGGTCCCTTTGTTGTCCTTGAGCTGCATGGAGATAGCCAATCAGCTGTCAGCACGCAACTATCTGCTCTTCTCCGGCATTGAACCGACGGATTACATCACTGACCTCTTCAAGCTCCACCCACAAGAGCCTCCCACCAACCTGCGCAACTTTGAGGATCTTGTAAACCAGGAGACCTTCTGGGTCGCCACGGAGATAGTACAGGAAACCAACCTGGCCAAAAGAGTGAAGATCATCAAGCACTTTATAAAGATTGCCCTTCACTGCCGTGACTGCAAGAACTTCAACTCTATGTTTGCCATAATCAGGTAGAGTTTATGTGTCTATTAGTGTTATCATGATTCCTTTGTTATGTTTCACAGTATAACACCAAATAGTGTTGCGATGCCAATCATGTTGTTTGGATGCATCGTTATTGCTGGGGCTTCAGTTTACATTGCCAAGGCCGTTTACACAATAATAAAAATAATAAATGTTTTATGTTATCGTTGTTGATGTGGAAAATTAAAAATATTAGTATTTAATTATTTAAGAAATATATTAATATTAAAGTAATACTATTAAATCATTATTAATTATTTATAAATATTTAGTTATTATAAAAATTTGTTTCATGGTATGATGCCAAGTAGTGTTGTGATGCCAATCATATTGTTTGGATGTATTATTATTGCTGGGGCTTTAGTTTACATTGTCAAGACAGTTTACACACCAATAATAATAATAATATTGTTGATGATAATAATTGTTGTGACAATTATTATTTATTTATTTTTTATTTTTTAAAACAATTATTGTGATTATATAATTGCTTTATTTATAAATATTTATTTATTGTTGATATGTTACTGTATAATGATAAATATGTTATGCATTATATAAAATTATTATAAATTATTTAATTCTTCATTTTCAGAAAACTGATGGAAGAACAGCAGTCAAAACTTGAATTGAATCAGTTATGTCTACAATAAAATAATCACTGATACAATATAGGGATGCGATTTTTTTTAAATGTGCTTCTCACCATACAAACATGTCAATGTGCTTTTGTTTCTTGCATAAATCCGTCAAGTTTGTTCCTGCTAATGCTTGGAATTGTCATCTTCTCTTCTCTATACGGTCTCCTAAGTGTATCTGTGTATCTTTTGCAGTGGGTTCAATCTAGCACCTGTCTCGCGGTTGCGATCCACATGGGAACGGTTGCCTGGAAAATATGAGAAGCTTTTGGCAGAATTACAAGACGTTTTCGACCCTTCTCGCAACATGGCCAAATACCGCAACCTCCTCAACAAACACAACCTGCAGCCGCCGGTCATCCCTCTGTTTCCTGTCATTAAGAAAGACCTCACTTTCCTCCACGAGGGTGACTTGCACCTTTCTCTGTTCCTGTTGCCTCATAACTTTGAATTTGGTTTGAAAATGAAATATGAATCTGTTAAACGTGTGCTTATAGGGAACAAATCCAAGGTGGACGGTCTGGTGAATTTTGAGAAGTTGAGGATGATTGCGCGAGAGGTCCGACACGTGGTTCGAATGGCTTGCATCACCATGGACCCTGCATTGCTTTTTAAAATGAGGTACACCTACAAAGTGTAAACTTATTCAGCAATGGTATTTCATACACAAGAACTCACAACATCAAAAACCTTGAGATAAAAGCATAATTACACAGTCACACAAGCTGTTTTTCAAAACTTGCTGAGCTGCGTCACTACCTGCACAGGAAATGCAACCTTATTAGTGGCCGATTCTAAATGCACTACACGGGCAAGTGCATGCCACACAATGAGTGTGACTCGACATAAAGCATAAATATACATACATAATGCGTTTTCTTTATTGAACTGAAACCAAGCTAGTCTCTTGCACAGTGTGGTGGATATCCATTGCTGATGAGTTTCTGATCACAGTCATTTGTGTGCTTGGTGTCTTACTGGACTTCTTGTTTTTGATACTTTGCTCTGTGGGCTTCACTGTCTAAGCACTAGTGTCTTTTTTTGTCTCTTCTTACTCAATCTCTTAATTTTCTTGTTCTTTGGCTCTTCATGGCTCTCTGTTTTAGGAAGAAAAAGTGGAGAAGTCTTGGGTAAGTGGGACTGCTACTGTCTTTCTCTCTTTCACTTTTTCTGTTAACTGTCTTTTTTTTTTGCTGTCATATACTAAACCACACTAACACTTCCTTTGGTAGTCGAAGTTGTTTTAGTTGCACTGCGTATGTGAAATCACATCTTTGACTTCCTTCTCCTAAATTCTCATTGTCATCCTCTAGAAAGGCATGAATTTTTGTTATGAATGTTTTCTACAATGATTTAAATGGTTGTATAAATGTGTTTTTACTAAAGTAGGAATATTGTAGTGGAGTACCCTAAAATGTACATTTAATTATTTTTTTTTATTATTTACACATTACATTATCAATACCAGTTTAAAATGCTTTTCTTAAAAAAATTAAAAATAAATAAAATATGCATTAATGAAAACATCAATATATTTTTTTTAATGCACACATCTGCGGCTTGAATAAAAAAATGCATGTATAATCTAATTATATATATAAAAGGAGGTATTAAAAAAATATGAATATCAACAACCTTCTGCCAGCACAGTGGTTGCAAGTTTTTTTTTTTTTTAATAATAGTTCAGTTTTAGTTTTTATTTACAGTTAGTACTGGTTGTTTAGTGCAAAAGAAAATCATTTGTAAATAATTTGATTGGTTGTTTTAATAGCTGACTGCTTAGTTGAAGAATGAGTACCTGATTACATGTAGACATGTAGATATTTCATTATCCTGTAGATGTCTAAAATAGTCACTCATCTCAATTCCTTTCTTTCTGCATGTTAAAAATGGCCATGTTAATTCCCCAGCATAATTCTGATTTTATCTAGTTGTCTTGCTAACGTGTTAAATAATGACCCGTTGCCTTTAGCATTCACCGTGTCTTTTGTTCTGATGTGCGTAGGTCTCTAAGTCAGGTGAGCAGCTCTTCTCTCTCTGACATCGGAACGATGGGCGGGAAGAGGAAGGGGAGGCGGAGCTCTTTTCTCAGTGCTAAGAAGCTGTATGAGGTGGAGATGATGAGCAGACGCGTGCGGCAGTACCTGGACACGCACACACACGAGAGCGATGAGGACAAGCTCCACAAACTCTCTTTGCAGTGTGAGCCTGCCAACAGCTCCAGTGAGTCACACACACATTTATAGAAAACTATCACCTTGCCTTTTTATTTTCATTGATTATTGTGATAAGATCAAAAGTAATTGATTATCAATGGCTAGTTGTCTTTTTATGTTCACAGTTGCCTTCTTGAGATTTCCCAAGGAATCAATGCAACAGTAAACGTTTATGCAAAAAAAATTTAAGTTTAGCTTTTTTATGAAAGTCTTTTGAAATTTTATTTTGAATGTTTCTTTATGAAGTTTGACATGCTGAATATAAAGATCACATTACTTTTTGTGTATCATGAAAAAATATATACTGTATGTTGACAACTTACACAAGCTTATCTGTTGTTGCTCATGCATAAAAATGACATGGTACATGTAATACATAATACTGAGCTAACAACAACAGTTTGACGTAAACAGTTAGCAAAAGTGAGTGGTCCAATGTTCTGGAACATTCCAGAAAGCACTAGAATATTCCAGAATGTTACAGAAACTTCTGGAATGCTCCCATCCTTGCAAAATGTGACCCTGGAGCACAAATAATCAAACACAGCTGGACTCAAATGAAGGTGTAGAACCATCTCAAGGATGATCAGAAGAAATGGACAGCACCTGAGTTAAATATATGAGTGTCACAGCAAAGGGTCTGAATACTTAGGACCATGTGATATTTCAGTTTTTCTTTTTTAATAAATCTGCAAAAATGTCAACAATTCTGTGTTTTTCTGTCAATATGGGGTGCTGTGTGTACATTAATGAGGAAAAAAATTAACTTAAATGATTTTAGCAAATGGCTGCAATATAACAAAGAGTGAACAATTGAAGGGGGTCTGAATACTTTCCGTACCCACTGTATATATAAACAATAAGTAATGTAGTATAAACACCAAAATTTGATAAATAGCATTTTAGAGACTACGACTAGGTTCTTATACGAGTGATCTAAAATTGAAAGAACATGCAAGTACAAATAAATAGCTTTGTTTCATAAATAGATATCCAAAACGTAATTTTGTTACATATAATGGGCCTGTTATAGTTGAATGTGTGTGTGCTTGTGGTTTCAGTGCTGAAGAATTCCGGCGAGAGGAGACGAGTGGATGTATCTCCTGTTGGTCAAAGAAGCACCACTCCACAGCAAACGAATGGAAATCATGGTCGCAAGAAATCACTTGGCAAAGAGTTACCACCATTTGGTAAGAGCTATCTATCTATACCTATCCGAATGATCTGAGTTCTGGTATCATTAGAGCGCCCTCTGCTGGTGACTCGTAAGTCTTGTTTGTACTGTAGTGAGATGATGTTTTTGTGTCTGTAGGTGCCCAGTCTCCTCAGTCTCTCCATAAGATTTTGTCTCTCTCAGAAGAGGGGCGGGACAGACAGCGAAAGCCGCCTGAGGACAGCCAGTCAAGTGCTTCATCTCTGCTCTCCTCTCCACGCACCTCACCTCACAGCACACCTAGAAAAGGTATCTACTGATCATGTCTATTGAATCAGTTGAAGAACTCTGTTTCTGCATGTTTGTGCTATGTTTTTACTATAACAAATATTAACTAATCTCGAATGTAACCAAACCTTAACCCATTTTAGTCCAAGTATTTACCTTATTTTACTCAGTCGTTTCTTGTTTAAATACACTGTTAGTGCACATACTGCAAAATAAAGTGCAATTCAGTATTGAAATCTGTGCGTGTAATAAGATTGTAATAATTCATTTGAGTTTTTGATGCATTGATTTCTGTTTACTGTTTTAAGGTAACTGCATTATCTGTTTTAAAATGCTATGAAATCAATTTGTTTCAATCAAGTTTTTGTTAACTTAGCATATAATATTTAAATATTATACCAAGTTATGACACCGCTAATTATACTAGCTTTAGAACAAAAGTATCAACTGATCAGGTTGACATGAAATAGTTAAATTCTGTTTGGAGCATCTATAATATAATTTTCAGTTGTTTAATATGTTTTCATTTTAATTGATTTACTTATGATTATCGTATCACATATTGAATATTGCATTATTTAATAAATTATCTAATTTTACTTTATTATGCAATGTGCACTTATAGATACATATTTCTAATAGAGTTTTTGTAATGAGTGATGTTTAATTTGCAAGAAATGCATGTTTTAATACATTTGTGTTTTTTCAAATGTGTTGAATGGAATTTTTAAAATCGGAAACCAATTAATTGTGAATCAAATCAGTTCAAAATGAACTCCGATTCACATTTCTAAAGAGTAAGACATTTTCAGAAGTATTTAATTGTTTGGTTATTTATGCTTGTTTTTCTCATAGGCCCACAGTTAGTGGTGAGTGACGCATCGGATCAGTTGAGTTTAAGCTCCTCCTCCTCTGACCTCATCATGGTTGATCAACCCCATACACTTGCAAACCCACTCAGCACGCGCAGAGCTGAACCTGACCAGATAAGCCTGGGGTAAGGGCTTTTATATACATAGATGTATACAAGTACCTAAAAAGTAAAAAAAATATTAATTTTGAATGTTGATCAGTCAATATTATTAGTCTCTTTCTAAAGTCTTTGTATGTTTCTTTCTCTCAGGTCCTACTCCTTGATTCCGGATCAGTGTGACCGTGCATCACTGGACGCAGCAGACAGCGGCCGTGGCAGCTGGACTTCCTGCTCCAGTGGTTCCCATGACAACATCCAGAGCATTCCACAGCGTGTGGGTTGTTATGACAACCGCAGCTGGGAGACACTGTCAGAAGGGATGGGACGTAGTCACATGACAACACCTACTGGTTACTGGGGCGATGAATTGGAAGGAGACACTGGAACGATAAAACGCAGAGGTGGAAAAGACGAGACTCCAAACACAAACAAGAACACTGCGAGTCGAAGAGAGGGACGTTTTAGAGAGCCGCCGCCCACACCACCTGGTTATACTGCACTGTCATTGGCTGATGAAGACAGCCACAGTCATGCGCATGGGCGACGCCCACCAGACTACACGGCGGCTTTGCAGAGATCTCGATTCCTTAAAAGGTCATGTGATCCTCCTCCACCACACCCATCCAGTAGGTTGCCAGCATACAACTACTGCCAGTCACCACGACGACCACAACCGGATGGTGAGTATTTGATGAAGTCACCTTTATTTATATTGCGCTTTATACAATACTGGTTGTGTCAAAGCAGCTTTACAGTGTCAAACAGGAAAATAGTTTGTCAATATTGCAAGAAGACAATAACAAAGAGTCATTTTTCCAGCTTAAGTCATTATTATGAAGTAATCACTATAAAAATATTAGTAGCAGCTTTACAGTGTCAAACAGGAAAATAGTTTGTCAATATTGCAGGAAGACAATAACAAAGAGTCATTTTTCCAGCTTAAGTCATTATTATGAAGTAATCACTATAAAAATATTAGTAAAAAAAATCAAATAGAAAGACCAGGACTAACTTGTATTGTTAAAATCTGCTAGAGAAAGACCAATAATCTATTTTACATTGATACGTTTACCAATATACATTCATTTATTTAAAAATCATATGTAATGTTTGTTATATTGATGTGAGTTGGTTGTCAATTGTTGTTTCATTACTTTTGTGTTATTACTATTTGTTTCATCTTGCCATGAAAATAGCCATAGATGCTGGTATGGCAATAAATATTTCATTTATTGTTTGGATAATCATTCAACTTATTAAATAAAAACCAAGAAAGAAATGTGTAGATTAACAATTACACAGCCTAAAATTTTGCATAGAATAAAAAATGTGCTTATTTATATTGTGATTTTATTGTTATAGTTGTGATAAACAGGAATTCTGCACTGATAATTGTAGAATGAAATATGAAAATAATCTGTATTGTTCATGAGCAGTGTTATTTTAGTATCTCTGAGATCATACTATTAAAGTTTTTATTAATATTTTGAATCCTTTTTATTTTTATATTTTTTACGTTTTCATTTTAATATTAAAGTTTTAGTAATTTTGTTGTGCGTTTTTGTCAATTTTTATGTATGTCTATATAGTTTTTATCAATTTTAATTTCAGTTATTATAGATTTTATTTATTTTAGTACATCAGGTTAAACTAAATTAAAATGTTGGCTTGGCGAAATAAATAATTTTTAAGTAAACTTTTATTTTATTTCAATTGTAATGACAATTGTTTTTTTTATGGTTTTTATTTAAGTTTCAGTTTTAGTTTAACTATAATAACTCAATATCAATCCATCTCTTAAAACTTATTTTTATTATTTTCTGGAAATAAGTCAAGCTCTTTTTTTGTCTTTTTTCTCTACAGAAAGCGAGCAAATATCTGCAGTTTAATAAGAGACACTTCGTATCTCATCGCAACATCCATATAAGAGTTGATATGTAAACGTGGTCATGGACTGAACTACAGCAATGCGTTTGGGCCTTCCTGGAGATCACTGTGAAAGAGGAGAGGAGCAGAGAAAATGTTGGCACTTTTAACACAAGTTCTGCAAAACAAAGAAAAGAAGGAACAAATAGACTATTGCATAATAAAAACATTTTAAGCGTAGAGTGATGCGAGGTGTTGCACATGATGCAATATCAGTGTTACAAAACCATAGAAAACAGTATTATTCCATTTGAAGTTTTAATCAGTATGTCACGTGTTACAGAAAGTGTGTGTGTGTGTGTGTGTGTGTGTGTGTGTGAGAGAGGGAGTGCTGAAATCAATCACAGAAAGAGAGATGATGTTCTCTTCGGACACTTGAAGACAGAAAGAAAAGACTGAGCAGCCGCCTCTCACCAACCTCAATGGTCTCAGACGTCTTCTCTGTGCTGATATCAGTGTTTAATGTTACTCAAGAGTATATGATCGTTGTAACATGCCTTTTCTTATCTGATCGTGTTCCTAAAACTTTCCAGATGTGCTCACAAGTTTCAGTTTGAAAAGATTTTGTTTTGTATTTTTATTTCATTTTATCTGTCCATACCATTGTCTCCAACTATCCAAGTGCATGGCACAAATCATGAATTGTTGCACAGATTTTCAGAAGCTAGAGATTGTAGTCAAGAATATATAAATTATAGTTGTTACATAGATGATCAGTAAATAGTTACAACAGTATATTTTGCTTAGAATGTCGTGTGTTTGTGATAGTTCAAAAATGTATCCCTTATAGCTCCTGTGTTTCTACCCAGCCAAATCTAGAAGAATCACATGTATTTCTACGTCTTTTACAAAGACACCTGGCAAAGTCTGTAACTACTTTTGTATTTTTAATACAGCTATTGTAAATATTGGTTATATTTTGTTAAAGATTTCAGAGACCTATTCTGTTTATTGGATGCAATTCAGCTACAAATGACTGAGGAAAAATAAACACTGTAGCAATGAAATCTCGTGTCTCCGTCTTTGTTACTTTTGATGCTTTAATGTTGCATCTCAGATGAACTTTTGACATTTGACGTTATTCTGATGAACAGGTAACCCCGCCCAACATTCGCCATTGGCAGAGGGCCTCCTCCATGTTTTCTGATTGACAAACAAGTGTGATCTGTGATCAGATTCTTCTCTGCCATTTACAGAGATAAGTGTTGGGCCTCAGGACACTTTTCAATGAAACCTGTCAGTGGGGACATTTTATGCATGGTAGTTAAAATTTAATGGCCTATAATTGGTGATGTCACACATGTTTAATGAACAATTTTTTGCAATAACTGAAATGTTTAATAGTTTTTTTGTTGTTGTTGTAATCAAGACTTTAAGGTATGTCTCTATGCAGAAATTAATTTTCAAAAATACTGAGAAATATTCACAAAAGTAAAAACTGACCATTTGCCCATCTTGCCCAATTTTTTTTTTTTAAAGTGTCTGGTTTGAGGGTGGGACACTGATAAAGCTATTGACATTTTTTTATGAATAACTTTCTTTTAATACAATATAGGTGTCAGACATTTTTAAAGAGGATTTCTATTTCAAATAAATGCTGTTCTTTTGTATTTTTTACATCAAAGATTCCTGAAAAAATAAATAAAACATGGTTTCCACAAAAATATTAAGCAGTAACTGTTTTCAACATTAATAATAATCAGAAATGTTTCTTGAGCAGCAAATCAGCATTTCTGAAGGACACTGAAGACTGGAGTAATGATGCTGAAAATTCGGCTTTCCATCACAGGAATACATTACATTTTAAGATGCATAAAATAGAAAACAGTTATTTTAATATATAATAAAATCTCACAATATTTCTGTTATTACTGTATCTCTAAATATCACTGTAGTTTTGAATAAATGCAGGCTTGCTGAGCATAATAGACTTCTTTCAAAACCAATAAACAAATCTTACTTATCCCAATGTATAATAATAATAATGAATCATATGAAAGAATTAGAAACAGGATGTCCTCTTTAAGACGTTGTACTCGGAGATGTAACCAAACGCACGTCGCCGTCTCTCGGCAGCCTGTAATTCGGTCTTCCAGCAGTAGGGGGCGCTGTAGGGACGCGCGTGTTTTTGTGTTTCGCCGAAGGAGAGTGTTAGTCTTTGCTTCACTCTTGTTTTTGTGTGTGAGCTCAGCTGTAGCGTCTCAGTCTCTGGATGTGTCCTGTCTTCACCCACACAACGGACCTGTCTGTCGCTCATTATTCGGGCACGTCAGTCACACTGACAGAGTTTCTGAGGCCGACTGTCTTTGATTTTCATTAGCGGAGCTGGACCCGCACACCAGGACTCGGTCCAGCCCGGTTCGGCTCGGCTCGGTGGACGGGACACAGCGGGGATTTAAACGACAGTGCCCGACCAGAGATGAAGAGACGCAGACTGATGTGAACAGAACCAGCGCTATGGAGATACATCCACTGTAAGAGCTGTGTGTGTGTGTGTGTGTGTGTGTGTGAGAGACCTGCATGTGTTCACACTACTGTAATGTCAATACAGAGTACATCTGTTCAGCCATAAAATCACATTACATCATTCTGTCTTTGGCCACACACCTCCAACACTCTTTATGTCACATGTTTAGGAATTGATAATTGCCATATGGTCACTTCTTGTGTAATGGTACTGCACCGGTTTGTGTGGTTTATGAGAACACAAATTTGTATAATGACATGGGTATATGACACATGTATTACGATATGAAGGTGGTTTATGAGGACACTTCCTGTGTCCCTGTAATTCAAAAGGCTTAAAAACATACTAAATGGTGTTTTTTTTTAAATCTAAAAATGCACACAGTTTTCAGTGAGGGGTAGGTTTAGGTGTAGGGTTGGTGTAGAGCGATAGAAAATACAGTGTGTACAGTATAAAAACTATTACGCCTATAGAGAGTCCCCATAAACCACCAACGTGTGTGTGTGTGTGTGTGTGTGTGTGTGTGTGTGTGTGTGTGTGAGAGACCTGCATGTGTTCACACTACTGTAATGTCAATACAGAGTACATCTGTTCAGCCATAAAATCACATTACATCATTCTGTCTTTGGCCACACACCTCCAACACTCTTTATGTCACATGTTTAGGAATTGATAATTGCCATATGGTCACTTCTTGTGTAATGGTACTGCACCGGTTTGTGTGGTTTATGAGAACACAAATTTGTATAATGACATGGGTATATGACATAGGTATTACAATATGAAGGTGGTTTATGAGGACACTTCCTGTGTCCCTGTAATTCAAAAGGCTTAAAAACATACTAAATGGTGTTTTTTTTTAAATCTAAAAATGCACACAGTTTTCAGTGAGGGGTAGGTTTAGGTGTAGGGTTGGTGTAGAGCGATAGAAAATACAGTGTGTACAGTATAAAAACTATTACGCCTATAGAGAGTCCCCATAAACCACCAACATGTGTGTGTGTGTGTGTGTGTGTGTGTGTGTTTGTGTTTTAGATGCACTAAGCTTTGCCACCATAAAGCTGTGGAGCTGAAGGATGATGTGTGTGAGAAACAGAGTGCGGTTACCATCAATCCACGTCACATGAGGAAAGCCTTCAGGATCATGAACGAGCTCCGCAGGTGTGTGTGTGTGTGTGTGTGAGAGATACTGGTAGAAATCATGCAGTGCCTCTTAATAACACTGCTTTTTATGTGTGTGCTCTTAAATGGATAGTTAACCTAAAAATAAAAATCATCTGTGGAAGATGTTGGCAGAATGACTGCTCACTCTGCCAGTATTCACTTTTATTGTATTAAAAAACAAAGCAAAGAGGCAATGAAAGTGAGGTGTGTGTGTGTGTGTGTGTGTGTGTGTGTGTGTGTGTGTGTGTGTGTGTGTGTGTGTGTGTGTGTGTGTTTCAGATGCACTAAGCTTTGCCATCATAAAGCTGTGGAGCTGAAGGATGATGTGTGTGAGAAACAGAGTGCGGTTACCATCAATCCACGTCACATGAGGAAAGCCTTCAGGATCATGAACGAGCTCCGCAGGTGTGTGTGTGTGAGAGATACTGGTAGAAATCATGCAGTGCCTCATAATAACACTGCTTTTTATGTGTGTGCTCTTAAATGGATAGTTAACCTAAAAATAAAAATCATCTGTGGAAGATGTTGGCAGAATGACTGCTCACTCTGCCAGTATTCACTTTTATTGTATTAAAAAACAAAACAAAGATGCAATGAAAGTGAGTGGTGACTGAGGTTAACTAGTCTGCCTACTATTTGGTGATCTACAGGAAAAAAAAGTAAGTCACACAATTTCGGAATGACATGAGGATGAGAAAACAAAGTCAGATTTTTTTTTTAACTTGAGTGAATTATGACTGGGCTTTGCAGTGAGTGTATTAAAATGTTATTTGTTGCTGTAACACCGTTATATTAATACAGTTGCCACAGACTTTCTATTTCAAAACTTTCTATTTATCAAAGAATCCTGAAAAAATGTATCACAGTTTCCACAAAATATGAAGCAGCAACTGTTTTCAACAATGATAATAATCAGAAATTTTTCTTGAGCAGCAAATCAGCATATTAGAATGATTTCTGAAGGATCATGTGACACTGAAGACTGGAGTAATGATGCTGGAAATTCAGCTTTTAGCACAGGAATATATAAAATGTTATTATTATAATTTATTAATATATTAAAATGGCAAGAGTTTTTTTTTTTTTTACAATATTTCTGTTTTCAAAATCGACCTCAAACTTTTCAAGCTAAACATTTCAGAAATATGAAGTGTTTTGGGTTTCAAAATATAAAGCAATAGATATATTGATCTAAATAAAGACAAACCAGTTAAAGGTCACTCATTAGGCTGGTCATCCAGTCAGAGCTGCTGGAATATAGTAATAGTCTAGGAATAAAAAATAAAAATTGCCTTACAAACATGCTTATCTTATGTTGAAAACATAATTTAAGAAAAAATGTATTGAGACACTTATATTGTTAAACATGACCATAAGCAGTTAATGTGATGAATTACACTTGCTAGAACATCTGTGTGAGGAGAACTGACTTCATACATCCACTAAAATCATCATGACACCAGTTGCTTTAAAACTATTGCAAAACTGCTCAAAAGAAGTGAAGTTAGGTCTGAGGTCTTCCTGTATTTGCAGATGCTGCTAGGTTTGATGATTGTAATGTCTAATTCAGTGCCATTCAGATATTTTGTCCAAATCCTTTGTGTGACCGCTCTGTGTGAGAAGTGATCAGTGTGTATGAAATCTTTCCTCTCTCTGCAGTCAGAGTGTGTTGTGTGATGTCACCATCATTGCGGAGGATGTGGAGATAGCTGCTCATCGAGTCGTCTTAGCTGCGGGGTGTCCATACTTCCACGCTATGTTTACAGGTGAGTACACACTAACACACACACATTCACAACAGCGGAGGGTCACATTAGGGCCGGCCATCTGCTGCTGGAATATGGTAATAGTCTGGGAATAAAAAAAAATGTCTCACACACATGTTTCTTATGTTTGGATGTGTATTTACAAAAAAACAAAATCAAAAGCCAAATACGAAAATCTTTGATCTCATGTTGAGGCTTATAAATACATTTTTCATACAGTGATTGTTTCACTTTGAATTCACGTCATATTTACTCAGCTAACAATAATCTTTGGAGCTAAAGATGCAAAGTCTCTCGAAAATAATGACACAGAGATAAAAGCTAGGCAGCAAATTTGATGTACTCTGCGTTTCTCTTCAACATGTAGCATACAGATCACTTTGACTGTGACGGGCATTTGAGGGTAGAGATGGAGTTAGCACTAACATGCATTACATTTAGGAGCCACTAGCACAACACCAGTCCAAATGATGCAGTAAACAGCTATTTGGATTATTTATACATTAGATGGTGCAATCTGGGAACCGTACTCCTGCCTCCAGCACCCCAGACATTACTATTAACTTTTAAGTTAACTTAGTTATTACTGCATTTATTGCTATTGTACTGTACATTTAGTTGTGCTTAAATGTACTGTATTTAATGTTATGTGCAAAATATGTTTTTATAATATATATCTTTTTTTTTTTTATACAATAAATTGTTTATCTTGTATAATATTCAACATTAAATATTTTGTGAATATTTGTGTTTGTAGGAGAGATGACCGAGAGCCGTCAGAAGAAGGTTCGAATCAAAGAGATTGACGGCTGGACTCTGGAAATGCTGATCGACTATGTTTACACTGCTGAGATCCAAGTAACAGAGGAGAATGTGCAGGTAACCGCGTGTGTGGGGGACTGGAGCGCCACGTTTCGTTTTTGCATGCTATGAAAGCATGGCCTAAAAACACAGTTGACTGAATCGGTACTCTTTTTATGTGATGTTCTTTGGTATTACTCTGAGAGCACAGAAAATCACATCCAGGAAGTGTGCATGCGTGTGTGTGTGTGTGTGTGTTGTGTGGGTGGGTGTCTGCGTCTGCACAGTTGACTAGACGGAGGGTGTTAAAATGAGGCCGAATTGTTTTCAGGAATGGATTTAAATTCAAACTTTGACGCAAGGCTTAACAGTAAGAATGACCCAGGACTAGTAGACTGCCAGATGAAATGCAACTTGGTCTACTTTTAACTTGATGCAACATTTAGTGGCGTGAGATGCTTAACCCTATGGTGTTGTTCAGGTGGCGTTCAAAAATGACCTTTTTTATTTTATTAAAAGAGTGTGCTATATTTTAGTTTGATAATGTTTTTCATTTAATATTTTGTGTTTCTAGGGGATTTTATAGTACTAAATAATACTTATGACATAGTTATGATCTGTTAACCACTTTTAGAGCATAGACCTGAAAATGAAATTTCCAGTTTAAACTGTCGCAAATCTTGAATGCTTTGGAGCACAGACTTAAGTTTGGTCTCTTTTTAAAGAAAACACTAGGCAGATTATTGCTGAAGTGAAAAGAGTTGCAAAAGTGAAGCTAAAAAACAAGTTATAGAAGTTTCAATTTATTATTATGAAAAATGCACAAAAATACTATTTTAAAATTGTATATGAAAATCTATTTTCCAACACACATTCTACTCTAAAACAGCAAGAAAATCAAAGCCATAAATCTAAACAAGTTGTGTTCCAAATGTGAGGTTGAGCACCAAATGTTTCTACTAGATGAAATTCACTTTTGACCGCAAACAATACAAGTGTGACCATTTTTTTCAGACCATTTAACCTTTTCGAATCCTGTCCATAGTTTTGTGTGTGTGTGTTCACTTAGCAAGTGCCAAAACCAAGATTTGTAGCATTCTAATGAAGAGAGAAAAAAAAGACAATACCAAACCAAAACAAACTTTCTGTCCAAAATGACCAAACAACACCAGAGGGTTAAAAACAGCTTCCTTAAAGTCAAAAAATTACATTTGCAAACCATTTTGTGTATGTAAACGTATGTATTTTTGAGTGAAACAGGATGTTCAATGTGAAAAAATGGTTATTGAACTAATAATAAATAAACAAAATTGTTTAACATTTAAAAACATTTTTTTTAATGTTTTAAACAGTTTAGCACCATTTAGAAAAATTACTTTAATGCATGTAAAATTCTTGCCAGGACAAGGAAAAATACAGCAGACACATTTCTTGAAGGGCTCTTTTGAGGTCTTTTCTCTCTTTCTCTCTCTCTCTCTCTCTCTCTCTCTGTG